AAATTCTTTATGTACACTTGTTTTGTTTTGGTTTTTTTATTCATTTTGCATCTGATTCATGTCCATATCCCAGTGCCCAGCATGGTGCCTGTAGAATGAAGGTAGTTGGTACAATCTGCTGGATGTACGTGGATGAGGGAAGCACTGACTGAGGTGAATGGGGGAACAGTGGGTTCCACTCAGTGGCAATGACTGCCACCTGCAAAGCTGAGTCTCCTGGTGCAGTGAGCTGGTGACTCCAAGGCTGCCATGTCACACTCCCTGGGCATGCGTACCCAGCTGCTCACCCCTATCAGCTGCCCACACCTCTAACAAGGTTGCTAACCCAGCCAACCGTGCCTCCTGCCTGGAGCCTTTCCCCAAATCCCTCTGATTCCCCTTACCCCCCAACCCCCAACTTAGAGTGTTCTTCTCTTTGCTGCCAGACAGCTTGTCACAATGGGGACTAAAGGTGTCCCTTGGGTGATGTGCAGTTCAACAGGGAACTTCTCCAGACACTTGCTTTTCTAGAGGGACGGAGAGGAACAGTGGCCAATAGGAGACAGTTTCTAATCATTTAAACAAATCACTGACCACCTGTGACCCTTGGGGCCCTGCAAAGGAGACAGGAGAGGAATAGGGCGGAGTCTGGGACCTTCCGAAGCTCTCAGTTCCCGAGGATAACATGGGCTCTCTGACAGTGAGCTGTGTGCCAGGCACACAGGTGGCACAAACAAGGAGCCTCGTCTGAGAACCAAAAAATCACCTTGGATTGAAAATTTCATAGTGTCAAGGAAGAGGTGGCCTCTGAGCTGGTCCCTGAAGGAAAGGGGACAAACCCATCAAAAGGCACGGATGGGGTAGGGCCCAGCCAGGTGACCCCATCAATCAGGCAGGCCTGTTCCTCCCACGGCTACGGCACAGAGGAGCAGGTCTTGACTAATAAAAGCAGCCCGGTCCAGCAGCCTCGGTCTCCTGGGCTGTGCTTTTAATCTTTGTGGGGTCATTGGTAACCCTGACCAGGGACCTGGGGGAGCTGGGTAATCTCCTTGTTGTGGGTCTAAAGACAAGTTGTTTCACCCTGTTGGACCTCAGAGGGCTCCCCTGTGAAATGAAGATAGTACTTACTCTGCCTTCCATGGTGATTGTGGCTCAAAGGAAATGGGGCGGGCCCAGGAATGTAGGGGTCAAGATCAATCTTGGTGGGAGGCAGGCAGTAAGTTTTCCTCTGTTCCAGAAGCACAGGCAATAAATACTCTCTAAACCTGCCCAGCACCCTCACGAGTGGATGCTGCCAGTCACCAGGGAGCCTGGGCATGAGGATGGGTGGGTGGCTCTCAGCCTCCTGCTGCGTTCAGACATGCTGTAGGCAGGTCCTCCTTGGCATTAAAGATCTTGCCCTAACCTGGTTCAGCAGCTGGGCTAGTGGCCCGCCTGCCACACCCTCTCGTCAAGTACTCATCATACTGTATTATAATGATGGCTTAGTAGACTATTAGGCTATTTAAGAGCAGAGATATGTTTTATATGTCTGTTTTTTACTAAAGTATTTAGCACACAGTAGACCCTGAAATATTTGTCCAGTAACCAAACGGATGCACTATCCTTTCAAAGTCGCTAGCCTGTCCAAATGACAGTGGAGCCTCTCACTCTGCCCTTGTAAATAACTAGGAGTTTCCCAGTCTACACGTGATCCTGCTGTGAGCCCACCCCCTGGTGGTACAGTGATCTTAGCAGCCCAAGCAGCAGCAACCTCCCCTGGGTCTTCCATGCCAGCATGGGACAGGCCCAGAACACATTTCTGGGTCCCTGAAGGCACCTTTTCCGCCTGTAGTTTAAGCAGACAAAGAACATCATTCAGTGACACTAAAGTAAGCAGATCACTCAAGGGGGAAAAAAGAACAGCATAAAAAAGCCCCACCCCACAAGTAAACTTGGCCAAATGTTTGAATGCTGGCTATCCAGTGCAACTGGGACCAGGGCAGCATTCTGACATTTGTGGAAGCCTAGAGCGCAGATAACTTCAGACTGACCCTCTCAAAGGCCTCCTCCCACTCCATGCAGTCCCACCTCCACGCCTGCTGGGCTGTTCCCTCACCAGCCGCCACTCTCTGCCCCTCATCCCCAAACCACAATCATGTTTTCAGTGTCCCCTAGTTAGGCTCGTTTCCTGCATCCCTGAGGCGCAGGTTTGGGAGCCTCACTGTGGCTCTGGGTAAGTCATAGCCACTCCCTCCTCCCAGATTTAGTTTCCTATTATCATTCGGGAATAAAAACAACAGCACCTCATGAGGCTATTCTGAGGGTTAAGTGAGGTAAAATACGAAATTCTGGCATACCATTGGCCATAAATGTCCTTTTGCCTCTCTTCCCCCAATCATTCCGTCTCGCACCGTCTCACAGTGGGCCCCACCTGGCCTCTCCGCAGCCAGACTCTAACTGAAAACAGAGAAACTCCCTCCCTTGGGCTGAAAAGGAAGAAGGAAAAATCTAGTAATGGCTAGTTGGACAAGCTGGGGTAGGGTTGAGGGCAGGCAGTGGTCAGAGGTGCAGCCTTTAGAGTAGAAGTGAGGGATCTAGGTCTTTCTATAACCAGCCATGTGACCTTTGGGCAAGGCTCTTTCCTTCTCTGTGCCTCAGTTTCCACCTGTGAAACAGGGTCAACCTCTCTGCCCTACCTATTTCACAGGATCTTTGAGAAGAAGGTGATGTACAGACGTGAGCAGCAGTGATAAAGGGTGGGGGCCCAGAAGGCCTGGGAGTTGAGTGGGCACAGGCAGAGTCAGAAGCTGCTTTTTCTGGGGCGGGAGGGAGTGGTCATTTGCCTTTGGATCCAGTTTTAGACCCCCACACCTGCACAGCTCTTTCCTCCTGCCAATCAAAGCTGCTTGCTATTTTGAAGCAAAAATCTCTCCCTCCTGCTCCTGAGTCTCTTAAGGAGAAACTGCTGATTCCAGTTTCCTTCTCTCTCCCCTTTCAACTCTGCAACTCACCTCCCTCAGGAAGCCCTCCCAGATTAGGCACATCCGGCCTCAAAAACTCTTTTCCTCCCAGCACATCCCCCAGCCTTTGGGTTAACTCTTGGAGACAAAGATCATATTATGTCTTCCTATGGCTCGTGCTTGGCACACAGTAGGCACTCAGGAAATAACTATTGGTCAAATATGTACATTATTAGAGTATTGGATCAGCGCACAATTGTTAAAATTTCTGTTGTTAAATATTTGTAAAGAGTTTTGAACACTCTACTGCATAAGAGACTCTTCACATGGCACATGGGAGTAGAAGCCCCAGTGGGCAGGGGCCCTGCCTCTCTCCCTTCTTGTAACCCCAGGTGGTGTGACCAGTCTAACTCCATTCAAGCTCCTTGGTTTAATCCTGCTGCACCATCATCAGACAGCGGGGCAGGGTTGCACAGTGGTCAAAAGCAAGAACTGTGTTTGGCATTTGCATTCTGGCTCAGACACTTACTAGCTATGTAACTTTCAGCAAGTAACTTAACTTGTTCTGAATCCAAAAATAAAGAAAATACCCATCTCACCAGGCTGTTGTGAAAAGCAAAAGACAAAATGCAAGCAAATCATTAGCACAGTATCTGGAACATACTAAGTACTCATAAATTGTGGCTTGCTAGTATTACAAAACTTGACCCCTGACCCTGGCTGCAGCCTGCTGCATAATATTATCACCCACGTCCTTTCTCCACTGTTCAAATTTGTATATTGCATTCTGCAAAAGACAAAGGCAAAGAAAGCTCAGGCAGACAATGAGGAATTAGAAAGGGAGGCGGAAGTGCAAGTTAACCCTTTCTTCTGGTGGCTAATCTAGCCAACTGCCTGCATCACCACCCCTTCCTGGAAGAGGAGTTCCACCATGGGTCTTTCTAGGTTAATCCCCTCCCTAGGTCATTCAGCCTCCAGGGGTAACAGAACAGCCACATTCATTGAGTGGAATTAGAACGGTGAACCCAGGCCACTCCTGCTGTACATTCTGAACTGGTCACCAAAGGCTGCTGGTGTTTCTTAACAAATCTCAGTGTAGGGGAGCCAGCCTTAGTAAATAAAAAACGAGGTGCCCCGTTAACTTCAAATTTCAGATAAACAGCGATTAACTTTTTAGTATCGGTATGCCCCATTCAACAATATTTGGTGCATACTAATACCAAAAAATTATTTGTTATTTATCTGAAGTTCAAAGTTAATGGAGCATCCTATAGTTTATTTGGAAGCCCTACCCAGGTAACCCTATCCAAGGGCACAGAGTAAAGATTAAACTCTTCCCGCTGCCCCCACAACCTACCTGCCCCGCCAGTATTCTAAGCAGCCAACCTAGAAGCAGTCCCTCCTTTCAGCTCCCAAGCAGAGCACACAGCTGAAATGGGAGCCTTTCCTGAGCTGCTGAGTCCAGCCACCTACTTTGTCCAAGTGCCCAGCAGAGAGCCAGGCACACAGTAGGTGCTCACAATACATTCCTCATTCATTCCAGGCTGCTTGAGCTCTAGTACTGGGCCCAGCAGAAAGTGTTAATGTGAGGGGCCAGGCCAGCCTTGACTCTGTGGCAACCTAGGAACAGATGGCTAGGGTGGGGGTGGGAAGGTCACACCACCCACTTCCTGGGGTTGTTTTGAAGATCAAACGAAAAAAATGGCAAGGGATAGGTTTTGTAAATCTCTGGGCAGCACACAGGTTATTATCATGACCTCTGAGTGGCCCACAGAATTACCAAAGGGCCCCACAGCCCCCACTCTTCCCTAGGGAGAGGCACTCGACAGGGACACAGAAGCACATGGCAGGGGGAAGCCATGCCTCTGGACACTAATAAAAACAACTCTCTAGCACACTGTAATTTGCCAAACACGTTCACATCCATCCTCTCGAGACTTGCCACAGTCCCACGACGTGAGGGAGGGTTCCTGGACCCTTTTCCGGGGGGGTGTTTAGGGTGGTCTGCCCATGAGGTGGCGCATGCTCCAAGGAGCCGGGCATGGGGTCCATCCCGTGAGGGGCAGGGGCAGGGCCTACCTTCTGGGCCTCTTGGATCATCTGCCTGACCACCTGCTTGAGATGGGGCGCCTTCTCCTCCATGGGGGGGTGGGTGAAGAAAGTGACGCGGCTCACACCGCGGTAAGAGCCCGTGTCGGTCCAGCCCAGGTCCAGCGGGGGCACCTCGGTGTCGGAGCGGTCGGGCCAGTAGGCCAGGGACTCGCTGGGCTCGGCCGGGTCCTGCGGCGGGGCCTTGGCCTTGGCCTTGCTCTTGCCCCGGGCGGTGGGCGGGGCAGGGTCCTCGTAGGGGCTCAAGGCGGCGCGGAGGGCCTGGCGCTCCGGGCTGGACAGAAAATCCCTCAGCTTCTCCTTCTTGACCCGCTCGCGGTAGGCCTGCTCGCCGTCGCCCAGCAGCGCCTCCAGCGCAGCCCGCCGCCGCTCGCAGTAGTAGAAGGCGGCCTGCGCCTCGGTCACCCGCTCGTTCACGTGCGCCTCGTCCAGGCAGCTCAGCTGGGACTCGGCCATGGCGTCCCGGCCGCCCGCCCCGGCCCCGGCAGCGGCCTGGGTCGCACCGCTGCACCTGGAGCCGCCGAGGGGCGGGGCGGGGCGCCTCACCTGGCCGCGAGGTCGACCAATAGGCGCGGGCGCGGCCGTCGGGCGGGGAGGGGCGGCCGCGCCCTCTGCCTCTACCGGCGCGAGCGGCGCGGGCTACCTCGGGGGTTCCCAGAGGACGCGGCAGGACCTAGGCCTGCGGGGCCCAGCCGGGGTCCGGGACAGGGACGTGGAGCGCGGCCGTAATTAGACCCACGTGCGGCCTCTGGCCCGCTTCCTCCTCCCCGCCCCGACCCTTCGGTGGGGAAAAGGTGGGGGAGCTAACGCTTCCAGCCGCCGGCGGCTGGGCCAAGATTGTCGTAGGTTCACGTTCATTTTCCCAGCAGGTAGGGCCCCGGAGCACGTGCTCTGGTCAGGGCGCCTCTGGAGCTGCTGATCTGACCTCTCCCGGGTTGAGGGGCTGGAGGCCCTGCTGCTAGACCAGATTGTGACGGCTGAGGAGGGGCGGCTGGTGTGCAAAAGCGGAATGCTAATAATAAAACCCCTGCTCCAGTCCCAGTTCTGAGATTAGAGGCCTCCAGAAGCTGTCAATCCAATACCTTACCCATTATAAAAATTTCTTAAAATAAAACAGTCGAATACAGCAAGGATGTAAGAAGTAAAGGTGAAATATCCCCCCATTTTAATTTGAAGTGGTGTGTGTGTTTAGGCAAGATAGGCTGCCAGAGGCCTGATTATTATATCGATGATTCAAAATATATGTTTTAGCTCAAGGAAGGAAGCCACAGATGCGGACACACAAACACATAGCACCGCTAGCAGCAGCTCAGCTGTTTCCCATTGGATTGAATAGACTCTTCTTAGTCATTAACATTATTTTGTACAAGCACGGCTGTACAACTTGATTCTCCACATTCAAAATATTTTCAGCAACCAACGATTCACAGTTCTCTCATTTTACAGCGTAGCATCTTGGAGCTGGAAGGACCTTCCGAAACTAGTCCAACCCCCTCAATTTTACAGATGAGAAAATTGAGGCCTAGAAACTTGTGGTTGGCCCAGGTCTCCCCAGTAAAGAGAAACAGCCCTTGAGGCTTCCCTATGTCTGGGAGATCTTTGCCCTACATCACAGCCACCATTGCACTTTCTGTTTCTTTTGTGAAATGACAGGATTGGGAACCTGATTTTAACCTTGAGGACTTTGAAGAGGTTGCCTGTGATTCCTGAACCTTCCTTTGATGGTCTGTAAAAATGAGGGTCAGATTTTCAAATATCTGCAAATTTTGTCACAATTAGTCCATTCTGGCATCCCGTGTCAGCCCAAAGATCAGGGTGGTGAGCGCTGAGCCCAACACCTCACCCGTGTCCTTCGCTACTCTTGGGAATCAGGAAGCCTCACTCCTGGTAACATTCTACTCTTAAGTATAGACAAATTTCATCTTTAGACAGCATTTAATTAGTTTCCTAATGACTGGAGGCCCTACCAGATGCCAGACTCTGTGCCCTGGGGAGCAAGCATTTACTCAAGGTCTACTACATGCCTGGCACACAGTATGTGCTCAGTACAGCTTTTTTTTTTAAAAAAAAGAATGACACAAGGATGTAAAGTACAGCACAGGGAAGGAATATAGTCAATAATATAATAAGGGATGGTGTCAGATGGGTACTAGACCGATCAGGATGATCACTGTAAGGTACCTAAATGTCTAATCACTATGTTTTACACCTGAAACTAATATAACATTGCATGTCAACTGTACTTGAAAATAAATTTTAGAAAGAGAGAATGAATTTGGGCCAAGAGAAAGGTATGTTCAGGGAACTGTGGGACTCTGAGGGAAGAAGTAACTAATCTGCCCCATGGGATGTGGATAAGAAGGGCTTCACCCAGCAGGAAGGGATTTTGAGTGGAACCTAAAAGGATGGGATGAGAAGAATTTGAGGGGGAGAGGGAATAAAGGCATTCCAGGCAGAGTTGAGATTGGGTATATCAGAGCTTCATGCTGGCATCAGGCACACGTGGCTTCAGTTCCAGATACAGTTATGCGCTGTATAATGACATTTTGGTCAACAATGGACGTCAGTAGTCCCATAGGATTATAATGGAGCTGAAAATTCCTACTGCCTAGTGTCGTACTGTTGTAAGGTTGTAGCACGACACATTACTCTTATGTTTGATGCTGGTGAAAACAAACCTACTGTGCTGCCAGTCATATAAAAGTATAGTACATACAATTGTGTACAGTACGCAATACTTGACGATAATAAATGACTACTGGTTTATGTATTTACTATACTTATCATTATGTTAGAGTATACTCTTTCTACTTATAAGAAAATGTTTGTTATAAAACAATATGCCGGGTTATACTCGCAGCAGCCTCATATGTCTTGTGTTTACTGTGTCTTTTGATTACATGATTTCTCTTCTGTTTGATTTAACCTCATGTTGTTTTGTACAGTCACATGCTGTACAGGCTCGTAGCCTAGGAGCAATAGGCTACCCCATTGAGCCTAAGTGTGTAGTAGGCTTATCTAGGTTTGTGTAAGTGCACTCTGTGATGTTCGTACAATGACGAAGCCACCTAAGGACGCGTTTCTCAGAACGAATCTCCATCGTCAAGTGGCACATGACTACTTAACCCTCAGAGCCTTAGTGTCCACATCTGTAGAAAGGGATAATAATTCTGACCTCCTATGACCTCTCAGATTGTTATAGGGATTAAATGAGATCACGTGTTTGATTTAATTAGTATTTATATCTGATGGGTAGAAAGTGGTTTATAACAGTGCTTTGTAATTGCCTGGGGGAATCTTGCTAAAATGCAGGTTCTGATTCAGTAGTTCTAAGGTGAGGCCCAAGGTACTGTACTTCTAGCAAGCTCCCAGGCAGTGCTGGTTTGTAGACCATGCTTTACATAGCAAGGATTTCAGAGGCCTATGAATAGGAGCGTGAACTCCTATTTATGTCAGAGAGTGCTGGAATGGAGTCCCACTTTCCTGGGATAAGCTGTGTGTCTCTGGGAAAGTTACTTCCGCTTTCTGAGCCTTGGTCACATCAGTGAAATATGGGCAATAATAACACCTACGTTACGGGGCTGTGTGAGAAAGGAAACAAGTTACTGGATATACGTCACTTAGCGGAGTGTCTGGCAACTAATCAAGTGTAGTTAGTATGCAAGTGTGGGAAGATGAGACTGGAAAGAGAGGGACATTGGGCCAAATTGTGGGGACCTTGACTTTAGATCTTATCCTGTAGCTAAAGGGGAACCACTGAAGGTTATTAAGAGACTGATATGGTCATAAAAAAAATAGCAGCAATTACTATGTGCCAAGAACTATGCTAAATATTTTAGGTATCCTTCAAATGAATTTATGTAATACTTTTAGAAAATTAATATCCCCATTTTTCAGGTAGGAAAACTGAAGCACAGAGAGGCTTGTTCTACCGCCTCAGTTGAGAATGCTAGAAAGGGACGTTAGTAAGACACAGCGTTCCCCTTGTTTAATAATTTATTACCCAACAAACATTTACTGAATGCTTAGCATTATGCTATGGGTTAGAAACCATTCATTTACCCAATCCTTGTTGAGCCTTGCTAAGGGCGTGTTCTACGTGCTGGGGACGCAGCTCTGATTAAAAAAAAACAAAAACCAACAACAAGTTCTTTCCCACGCAGAGATTACATTGATGTGGAATGATTAGAACACATTTTTTGCTCTCAAGGAGCACAAATGTTACGTGACATGAATTGGGATAGGACAGAATGGGAGAATCAGAATAGAATACTTCAGTAACAATTCACATTGGACAAGATCTTTCCGAGATCTGATATGAAACACACTGTAGTCTTTTTGTAATATTCCCCTTTACATACCAATGACTTATTTTTTCAACCAATGTATTGGAGCAGTTCACATGTACTAGATAACACACTTGCTGCCAAGAATGAAAAAGAGGATATCAGACATGATAGCCGGCTGCCCTGGTGGCTCCCTTAGTTTATCTGGGAGATACCCTGTCTTTACAAGGATGGGTGATAAGTGACAGAATGACCTTCACAGAGAGGTTTCAGGCTGTGGAGTTATTTTAACGTACAATTATCTAATTTGACCTGCCCCAGTCTGGTAACGTAGACTATGAAAGGGATTACAGCCCTATGTTACAGATGAATAAACTGAGGCTCCGGGAGATGAGATGGTCTGTTCAAGGTTATCAGCTGCCAAGTGGAAATGCTGGGACACATCCATGCAGCCTGATCCCCAGGCCTCTCACCCCACTACACAGCTAAACTCTGTGCGTTATTCCTGAGATTCTTTTTTTTTTTTTTAAGATATTTATTGGGGAATTGGGGAAGGGGAACAGACTAGTTGCTGTCCTTTTGTTCTTCAGTCTAGTTGTGGAGGACGCCGCCTCACTGGCCCATGTTGGTATTATCATT